ATTTAACCACTTGTCCATTTCCCTCTGCTGTCTCATCACCTCTGTTCCCCGTCTCCCCCTATGTCCCAGGAATGTTTATGCAGCCGTCCATGGAAAGTCATTCTTTCAGGGGCTGGGGAAGTCGTAGAACTGGTACTATCTTGTCTTGTACACAGCTGAGCTGGGTTCAATCCCTGGCACCCCATGTGGTACCCTGAGCCCAGAGCCATGGTAAACCCTGAGCATGGCCAGGTGTGCACCCATCCACCCCGAAGGAGGAAAAAAACTTTCAGTGAATCTAAGGAACAAATGATGACTTTATTTTTTTTTTGTGGGAGTAAAAAATTTTAAAAGTATTAAAATTTTTTTCCCCTTTATTTTATTTTATTTTTTTTAAAGTTGTAGATTTACAATTTTTTGTGCTTTGGTTTCAATTATACAATGATCAGATACCCATCCCTCTACCAGTGCCCATTTTCCACCACCATGGATAATATCCCTCCCACCCCAATCCCCCCATCCCCCCTGTCTCTGTGGCAGGGCAATCCCCTGTGTTCTCTCTCTCCTTTTGGGTGTTGTGGTCTGCAAAAGAGGCATTGAGTGGCAAACATGTTCAGTCCATAGTCTACTTTCGACATGCATCTCCCCTCCTGGGAGGATCCTCCAAACATACTTTATTTGGTGCTCCCTTCTCTATCTGAACTGCCCTTTCCTCTAGGATACCTGGCTGGCCTCTAAGTTATGGAGTAATCCTCCTGGTGCTGATCTCAGCTATTCTTGGGTATTAATCTCATACTTTGTTACTTTATATCCCCCAGATGAATGCAATCTTTCTATGTCTATCCCTCTCTTTCTGACTCATTTCGCTTAGCATGATACTTTCCATATTGTACCACTTGTATGTAAATTTCATGACTTCATCTTTTCTAAGAGCTACATAGTACTCCATTGTGTAGATGTACCAAAGTTTCTTTAACCAGTCATCTGTTCTTGGGCATTCAGGTTTCTTCCAGTTTCTGGCTATTGTAAAGAGTGCTGCAATGAACAAACAAGTGCAGATGTCACTTTGACTATACATTTTTGCCTCTCTGGGATATATTCCCAGGAGTGGTATTGCTGGGTCAAATGGGAGCTCAATTTCTAATTTTTTGAGAATCGTCCATACTGTTTTCCAGAAGGGCTGAACCAGTGGACATTCCCACCAACAGTGAAGGATTGTCCCTTTCTCGCCACATCCACGCCAGCATCGGTTGCTTTTGTTCTTTTGGATGTGGGCCAGTCTCTGAGGTGTGAGATGGTATCTCATTGTGGTTTTGATCTGCATCTCCCTGATGATTAATGATATAGAGCATTTTCTCATGTGCTTTTTTGCCATTCGGATTTCTTCTTTGAGAAAGTTTCTGTTCATTTCATTGCCCCATTTTTGGATGGGGTTGGATGTTTTCTTCTTGTGGAGTTTAACCAGTATTCTGTATATCCTGGATATCAACCCCTTGTCAGATGTGTATTCGGTGAATATCCTTTCCCATTCTGTAGACTGTCTTTGTATTTTGGTCACTGTTTCTTTGGAGGTGCAGAAGCTTCTTAGTTTAAGATAGTCCCATTTATCTATCTCTGTTTTCACTTGCTCGGCCAGTGGCGTGGCATCTTTGAAGATACCATTAGCTTCAATGTCATGGAGGGTTTTGCCAACTTTATCTTCAATGTACCTTATGGTTTCTGGTCTGATGTTGAGGTCTTTAATCCATTTTGATCTTACTTTTTTACATGGTGTTAGGCAGAGTTCTGATCCTATTTTTTTGCATGTAGCCGTCCAGTGATGCCAACACAATTTATTAAAGAGGCTTTCCTTACTCCACTTCACATTACTTGCACCTTTATCAAAGATTAGATGAGCATATGATTGAGGAGAGATGTCAGTGTATTCAACCCTGTTCCATTGGTCTGCAGTTCTGCCTTTGTTCCAGTACCATGCTGTTTTAATTATTACTGCTTTGTAGTACAGTTTGAAGTTCGGGAGGTTGATTCCTCCCATTTTCTTTTTCCCAAGAATTGCTTTAGCTATTCGTGGGGGCTTATTGTTCCATATAAATTTCAAGAGTATTTGCTCCATTTCTTTGAAGAATGTCATGGGTATCCTTATAGGGATTGCATTGAATTTATACAATGCTTTCGGTAGTATTGCCATTTTGACAATGTTAAGTCTCCCGACCCATGAGCAGGGGATATCTTTCCATTTCCTCATGTCCTCTTTTATTTCCTGAAGTAGCGTTTTGTAGTTTTCTTTGTACAGGTCCTTTACTTCCTTAGTTAAGCTGATTCCTAGGTACTTGATTTTCTGGGGCACAATTGTGAATGGGATTGTTTTTTTCATGTTGCTTTCTTCTCTCTCACTGTTTGCGTATAGGAAAGCCATGTACTTTTGGGTATTGATTTTATAACCTGCAACTTTACTATACGAGTCTATTGTTTCTAGGAGTTTTTTGGTGGAAGTTATTGGGTTCTCTAAGTAGAGTATCATATCATCTGCGAATAGTGAGAGCTTGATTTCTTCCTTTCCTACCTGAATGCCCTTAATATCTTTTTCCTGCCTAATCGCTATTGCAAGTACTTCCAGTACTATATTGAACAGCAGTGGAGAGAGTGGGCATCCCTGTCTCGTCCCTGATCTTAGAGGGAAGGCTCTCAGTTTTTCCCCATTGAGGATGATGCTTGCTGTAGGCTTGTGGTAGATGGCTTTAATTATGTTGAGGAAGGTCCCCTCTATACCCATTTTGGCTAGGGTTTTCATCATAAAGGGGTGCTGGATCTTATCAAATGCTTTCTCTGCATCTATTGATATGATCATATGCTTTTTATCTTTTCTTTTGTTGATATGGTGGATTATGTTGATTGATTTCCGAATGTTAAACCATCCTTGCATCCCTGGGATGAATCCTACTTGGTCATGGTGTATGATCTTTTTGATGAGTAGTTGGATTCTATTTGCTAGTAGTTTGTTGAGGATCTTTGCATCTGTGTTCATCAGGGATATCGGCCTGTAATTCTCTTTCTTTGTGGTATCTCTGTCTGCTTTTGGTATCAGTGTGATATTTGCTTCGTAGAAACTGTTCGGAAGTGTTTTTGATATTTCAATTTCGTGGAAAAGCTTAAAGAGCATCGGGAGTAAGTCCTCTTTAAAGATTTGGAAGAATTCACTAGTGAATCCATCCGGGCCAGGACTTTTGTGCTTGGGGAGACTTTTTATTACCATTTCAATTTCCTTGATGGTGATAGGTCTGTTCAGGTATTCCAGGTCTTCTTGGTTCAGCCTTGGGAGTCTGTAGGACTCTAGGAATTTATCCATTTCCTCGAGGTTTTGATGTTCCGTGGCATAAAGCTTCTCAAAGTACTCCCTGAGGATCCTCTGAATTTCTGTGGTTTCTGTTGTAATGACCCCCTTTTCATTTCTGATTTGGTTTATTAGGGTTTTCTCTCTCCCTTTCTTTGTGAGTTTTGCTAGAGGCTTATCGATCTTGTTAATTTTCTCGAAGAACCAGCTTTTGGTTTCATTGATCTTTCGGATTGTTCTTTGGGTTTCCATCTCGTTAATCTCTGCTCTGAGTTTTATTATTTCCTTTCTCCTGTTTATTATTTCCTTTCTCCTGAGTTTTATTATTTCCTTTCTCCTGTTCGGGTTGTGCTCCTTTTTTTGGTCCTTCTCCAAGCTCTTAAGCTGTGAGGTTAGGTTACTTATGTGTGCTCGCTCCTCCTTCCTGAGGAATGCTTGTATTGGACTGTTTCTTCTCGTTAATCATGGCAAGCTGTGTCTGATTCAGAAATCTGAAGACAACTCAATTGTAGCTAATCCCAGGATCTTCATCGGCAGGTAGAGATTGTAAAGGATTCAGATGTAGGTCTGAGTGTGATGGTACATAAAGTGCTAAAAGGAATTTGCTCTGCTCTCAGGTTGAAAGCCTAGAAGGGTTTAGGTCCAGTTTCCCTGGGTTCATGCAGAAACCGCTGCCTGCCCCCAAGGGCCTTGTTGGCGTGCAGTCCTGATGGCGGAGGCTCTCTCCATCCTGGGCTCCCACATAGAGGCGCAGAACTGCTGCCTCTGAGAGAGGACGTCGCCTACACTCACCCAGCCCCTGGGTTTTCTGTGGGTTTTCCCCAGACTGTAGTTATCTCCAGCGTAGCTGCACGCGATGTGTGCCAAACGTGTGTCTCTGCACTTTGTGAAAGTCAGCGTTTCTTTTGGGAGCTTGTCTCCAAGTTAGGTTTTCAGACAGGTTGAAAACAGGTCCAGATCTGTCGGGATGGGAGATTTGTGATGAAAGTAGATAATGGACCAAACATTATGACCTCTCAGTGTCTGTATTGCAAACCATAATGTCCAAAACTAGAGAGAGAGTATGGGGAATATTGTCTGCCATGGAGGCAGGGGGAGGGTGTAGAAGGGGGGCGGTATACCTGGGAGATTGGTGGTGGGAATGTGCACTGGTGGAAGGATGGGTGTTTGATCATTTTGTGATTGTAGCCCAAACATGAAAGATTGTAAGTTTCTCATGGTGATTCAATAAAAATAAATAAATAAAATTTAAAAAATAAATAAATAAAAAGAAATCAGGTCCAGCTGCGGAAGGCAGGGCCAGTCCTGCCCTGCTCCGACCACTGCTAAAGCCCAGAGCAGACGGGGGCGGGGTGGTCCTGTTCGGCGTACCCCACTTCCCTGACGGCCAAGGACAGATACCAGAACCAGAATGTCAGGCGCGGGCTTTGGTCAGGAACTCTGCGGGGCCCGGAGGCAGCCTCCGCGGTCCTGAGCTCACTGTGGGTGCTGATGTCTGGCTGTCTCTGCGCTCACGCGCTGCCGTGCTCACCTCACCCTCTCTTTTTCCTCCCACTCCTGCTTCCTTTGCTCTATCTGTGTGTCTTTGATGGAAAGACTAAAGAAACTCTATCCACGTTATAATAAATTTCATATATTTTTTTAGTTTCTAATATTTGGTTCTTGTTTTTTGCATTTTGAAAGGCTGCCCAGTAACACTTTAAGGCATTTGCATCATGACAGATTTATTTCTTATGAAAGTCGTAAGGAAAGAATCTGGATAGTGTGATCCCTTGGGAAAGGTTTCTGGCCCCGGACACCTCCCTTCCGGCTCTCCTCCCTCTGCTGTTGCTCATGACACCAAATCTAAAGCGTGTGGCTTTCAAGGCGCCCACGTATTTGTGACTCGGGCATCGGTAAAGAGGCCCGATGTCCTCCAGCCACTTCTGGATTGCACGGTAGAAGTCAGAGCTGAGAAGAGACCAAAGGAATTAGCCGTGAGGACTGGTCAGCAGGAGCAGCTGCCAGGGTCTGTTTGGCCGTGTCCATGTAGGGGTCGCCACACGTGCTCACTCGAGGAAAGGCTGCCAGGTGATTGTGCAATGTTCCAGGCTTGTGTCAGGAACACGCCAAGGAAGCTTCCCTCCCCTCCTGCCTTAGAGCTGATGGCTCAGGCTAGTTGGATAGTCCTGACCAAAGAATGGGAATGTGGGACTGGAGCGACATTCCAGCGTGGAGAGCGTTTGCCTTGCACACGGCCAACTTGGGTTCGATCCTTGGCATCCCATATGGTCCCCCAAGTACTGCCAGGAGTAATTCCTGAGTGCACAACCTGGAGGATCCCCTGAGATCTCTCAGTATGACCCCCTCCCCCCCCAAAAAAAAACCGGAATCTGCTCACGATCACGATCACAACCATCCTGTTGTTCGTCGATTGCCTCGAACAGGCCCCGGTAATGTCTCCTTTGTCCTAGCCCTGAGAATTTTTTAAAAAGTGCCATATTCAAGGCTCTTTCAGGGTTAGCAGAATGAGCCTCATCATTGTTACTGGTATTTGGCATATTGCGTAAGCCACGGGGAGTTTGCCAGACTCTGCCGTGTGGGCAGGTTACATTCGGTAGCCTGCCAGTTTGTCCAAAGAAAGAATGAGATAATAAGATGCTTCCGGGAGCTGGGTTTTATAGTCTCTGGGTCTTGGCCGTTGATGGGATTACAGGGCACAAGGGGGGCAGTTGGTGGGTGTAACCCCTGCCTACAGGAATATGGAGGGTCTGAGTGGAGGATGCTCAGCCCCAATCTGAGCAGGCTTGGAGATCTCAGCCCCAGGACACGCATGCCTTTGTTCCTCTGCCAGTACCTTCATGCCTGTGGAGAGTGGTCTCAGCATGGTGGTGGCTGGTTGTGGAGGTCTTCGGCTGCCGGAGCACTGGTCGGGGTGGGGAGGGAAACTCAACCTGCTCCCCTCCAAGGGGTCCCGGCGAGGACAGCCAGGCGCGGGGGCAGGAGACTTTGCTCATCCTCCTTAAACCCCTTCACTTTGAATAAACATTTAAAATCAGATTTTCTAAGTATGTGTTAGATTTAGAGCAAGGAACTCTTAAAATAATCTTATGGTGGGATCAGTTACCAAATAAGTTTGTTTTGTTTTGCTTTGGGGACACAGTGCTCTTCAGTCATTCCTGCCTCCAGAGACCATGCAGTGCTGGGGACCAACCCAGCTCCCCTGTCTGTGAAGCGTAGACCCCAGCCCAGCCCCAAACACATGCCATAGGAAAGTCAAGATTCCTGACCCACAGGGTCGCATCAGAGATTTCCTTTCCACTAAAACGCTCTTATTTCCACCTAAACAAGATCCTATTCCCTAGCGAGGTGTTGCTCATGGAATAGCTTAACTGCACAGAAGTCCACCCTTTCCGGTGTATTTCCAGCCCTTGGGTGTTGAATTCAGGAGATCTCTGTTAGTCTCAGATTCTTTGCTTTCTATTTAATGATCTGGAGTGTAAGTGTGAGCCAGGCGCTGAGAGAAATACACACTTCTCTTTTCATCTCTGTGAGAATTCCCGTTTGCCATAAACCCATGAGAATTCTGTAATGTGTGTGCGGATATCTTGGGTCTCACTAACCAGACATACATTCTGCCATTTCTAACGTGGGCCTCAGTCTCCGAATCCTCCTGTCAGTTTTGGGAGGCATCTGACACTCGGAACATGCTCTTCGTTCACCCACTCACCCGGGGACCAGAGAGACTCGGCTTGTTGCTGTAAGTTATGCCTCATTCAATGTGTCACCTGCCCGCATCACTGGTGCTATGGCCCAGAGCATGTGATCTAAACATGCATGACCCAGTGCCGCAAGGTGGGTTGGAGGGAATACCCAGTGGTCCTCCCAGCTTCTCCCAGGGGTGCACATTCCCTCCATCCCCAAGGCACACAGATTCGAAACACTGAGTAGGACACGAACATCCACTGCTGTCCTGGACCCCAGACTTTAATGAGATCCCCCACTTCACATGCACCTCTGTCTCTCTCCCAATATGCATCCCAGGAGCCATACTTCTGTCCCCTCTCTTGTCCTTTCCAGGCTGTGGCATTGCCCAGTCTTGACTGAACGTCCGTCCCCACCCTGTGCTCCCCCCCACACGTCCTTTTGTGTGTGTTTTAATTGTTGTCATTGCTTGGTAATAATTTATTCAAGAAATAGCACTTCAACCTGGGATTAGGTGTTTAAAAGAATTCTTTTTTTGGGTGGTGGGGTGGGGGTGCAACAAGTCCTTTTTTTTTCTTTCTGTTCTCCATCTCCCAAAGTTATTAACTTGTTTCTTTAAATTCAAATGGACACAATGATAATCGGGTTCTGGCATGTACACAAGGCAAACTTTTTCTCCCTCACAGTCAGTAAAATTTCACTAAACTTCTGCAAGCATCAAAGCCTGGTCCCCTCCCCCCGCAATAGTCCTGGGAACCGTTGAGCATCAGTTATAGGGCAGTTGTGCACTGGCCTCTCTCTGGGTTGATTTCTGGCACAGGAAGGGAAGTCGAGGCCCCAGGGACCGTGAGGACCCTCAGGGCCTGCGACCAACAGTCTGTGGCCGGCGGGTCCAAGGAGACTCAGTTTGCTGGGGGTTCCCGGAGGTTCGTGCCCAGCGGGGGGGGGGGGGGAGGTGGAGGGGGGGCAGAGGTCGTGCCCCTCCGACTTGGAGAATGGGATGCAGGAGAAACCCCAAACCTCCGGGTCAGAAGAAGCCGAGCCCGTCCACGCCTCGCTGCTTACGTTGGAGCCTTAGTTTCCCCACCTGGAGTGGAGGGCGCCCCCAGCAGGCGTGGGCGTGCGTGGTGAGTTTCGGGTGGGGGCGCTGCAGCGGGGACAGCCCCCTGCCCGCATGTGTGGGCGCCAGGGAGCGGCTGACCCCCCATCTCCTAGACCCCGCAGAGCCGGGCGCCCCCAAGGAGGGAGATGAGAAGCCCGAAGACTGAGCCCGACGCAGCCACCAGACCCGGACCCGGACCCTGCGCCACACTCCAGGGGCCCCCGCCCACCCGCCCCGCCCCGCCCCGCTCCGCTCGAGATGCCGGAAGCCGAGGCCGCCGCCCGGCCCGCGGACAGACGCCTCCGGACTCAGACCCCTGCGCCGGGGGTCCGCGCCCTGCGCTCCCCGCGGCCCACCCGCCGCTGCCCCCAGGAAAGACGGTCACGTGGCTGGGGTCCGCCCCGCGCGGGGAGACGGGCGCTGGGGGTCGCCCGCCGGGAGTCGCCAGCCCTGCCCCGGCCCCTGCCCACCAACCTGGCGCCACGGAGCTCGGGCATCCGGCCGGAGGCCCCCCAGGGACCGCTGCGCCGGCAGCGCCCCCTCCTGCGGCTCCGCAGCCACGGGCCGGCCCCCGAGGGGCGGGCAGGGAACCCCCGGGACGCGGGGACTCGGGCCTGAGCGAGGCGCTGCTGGGTGCGGGTGGGCGGGACCCCCGCGCCAGGCAGGGCCCGGCACCTGTGCAGTTCGCACGGCGGCCAGCAGAGGGCGCCGCGAGCCGCTCACCGGCCTGCTGGGGATGCTGGTCGGTCCCTCACTGGGCAGGACCAGGCGATGGCCAGGGGAACCCGAGGACCCCCTGACACCGCTCCCAGGAGTCGGGGTGGGGGGCGGGGAACATGCCCTCGAAAGGCCAGCTGGCAGTGCAGGGGAGATGACGCCAGGGCGGCCTCGTCCCCCCCCCCCCCCCCCCCGCCCCCAGCTTCCCGGGAGGGTCCCTCTGAAGGAGCAGAGGCAGCGCAGTGCCCCAGCTCTGCTAGGGGTCTGGGGGGGTCTGTACAGCCCCCGGGGAGCGCTGAGTCTCAGCGGCCTGTGCCCTGGCTCGGTGGGGCACCCCCGGCACCCCTAGCGGGACGGTGGGAGATGAGGGGGCATGGGACCCTGGGGTCAGAGCTGGGGGCTCTTCTGCTTCCGCATGGGGGTCACAGAGACCTTGGTGACCTGGGCCCTCTGGACTGGGGCCCGCCTGCAGCCCCTGCTGTAGCCTGGGTGGGCGAGTCGCGTGGGCCGTCCCAGCTGCAGCAGTGCTTGGGGACCATGTGGCGCAGACCCCTGTGCTGCCTCTCTGCCCCCATGTTCTTGATTCTTTCAAAGAAGCGTCTGGGAGCCAGAGACACTAGAGCAGACAGGGCACTTGCTTGGCGTGCAGAAGACTCGGGGTCGAATCCCGGCACCCCATAAGGTCCCCCTGGGTCTGCCAGGAGTGGCCCCTGAGCATCGTCAGCCGTGGCCCCAACAGTCCCTGTCACTGTCACTGTTCATCGATTTGCTCCAGCGCGCCCAGTAACATCTCCACTGTGACAATTGTTACTGTGTTTGGTATATCGAATATGATACCTCATGGGTAGCTAGCCAGGCTTTGCTGTGCGGGCGAGATACTCTCGATAGCTTGCCGGGCTCTCGAGAGGCAGAGGAATCGAACTCGGGTCACCATGTTGGCCGCTTGCAAGGCAAACACCCTTTTTTTGGACCACACCCAGCAGTGCTCAGGGCTTACTCCTGGCTCTGCACTCAGGAATTACTCTTGGTGGAGCTCAGGGACCCTATGGGAAGCCGAGGATTGAACTTAGGTTGGGTCATGTGCCAGGCAAACGCACCTGGGCATTTGGGCCTCTCCCTTTGCCCCCACCCCCAAGAAAGACTTTAAAAAATAAAGTGATTGTTCAGAAGCCTTCCCGGCACTCGGGGGCAGGGACTGGCAGCACTGGGCTGGCAGCCTGAAGGCATTAGGGCCCAGGCCCTCGAGGTGACACAGCACCTGCCCAGTGCTGGGCCACACCCTGCAGTCCTTGGGGCTATACCCAGCAGTGCTCAGGGCTACTTCCAGCAGTACTGGTGGACTTACTCAGAAGTACTGGGGCTTTAATCCAGTAGCACTGGAGATATTCCTAGGAATACTGGAACTCTTCCCAGCAGTGCTTGGAGCTTTAGCACGTCTGGGCAGTTCCCAGAAGTCCCTGGGACCTAGGGCTCAGACCGGCAGGCTCCAGGGCGGGGGTGCCCGCAGCATGGGTCCTTTTCGGCCTTCCAGCACACAGGGTGTAAGCTCTAACCTTGATCTCCTTGCCCTGATTCTTTTTTTCCCCCTTCTTTTGGTTTTGTTTTGGGCCACACCCCATGGTGCTCGGCCCGTCCTGGCTCACTGCAGGGCGAGGACATATTGGCTGCTCCTGAGCGTACTTGAGGGACGCAGTACTTGGGTGCAAGTCCTGCCATCTCCGCAGCCCTGATTCTTAGTTCTTTTTTTCTGGGGAGGCGGGGGTCACACCCACCAACTGGCCCCCTGGCGCCGTATAATCCCATCAACGGCCAAGACTCAGAGACTATAAAAACCAGCTCCCGGAACCACGCGGCCGCATTCGCAGCCGTGTGACATCTTATTATGACATCTTATTATCTCATTCCTACTTTGACAAACTAGCAGGCTCCCGAATGTAACCTGCCCACATGGCAGAGTCTGGCAAACTCCCTGTGTCATACCCAATATGCCAAATACCAGTAACAATGATGGGTCTCATTCTACTAAAGAGCCTTGAAATAGCATTTTCTTAAAAATCTCAGGGCTAGGATGAAGGAGACGTTACTAGGGCCTGCTCGAGGCAATCCACGAATAACAGGATGGTCATGATTCGTGAACTCTTTGGTCTTTTAGAGAATCCGAGTTCATAAGAGACTCCGATGAAGAGAACGCTTCCCTGCAGAAATCCATCAGTATTACCAGTGCCATGCTCACGGAGAAGGACACAGAGCTGGAGAAGCTGAGGAATGAGGTCGAGTCCCGGCCCCGCCCACTTGGACCCGAGCCAAACCCATCTCTGCCAGGGCCACGCCTACATGGCCGAGCCAAGCTCATCTCACTCTGAACCATGCCCACATTGGCCTGAGCCATGCCCACTCCGGCTTGAGCCACTCCCATGTTGGCACAGGCCACACCCACATGGGGGTCACAGCCATGTGGGCCTAAGCCACACCCCTGTGTTGCAGGTCTCCTTGTTCAGGGCAGAAAATGCCTCTGCCAAGTCCTTGCATTCAGTTGTTCAGTCCCTGGAATCTGACAAGGTGAAACTGGAGCTCAAGGTCAAAAACTTGGAGCTTCAACTCAAAGAGAACAAAAGGCAGCTCCAGAGCACTGCAAGTAAAATGCTACCGCTGAGGGTTGCCTGCTTTCTGCCCTCCCCCAAACCTCCGGGGGCACCAGCCCCCCCTGCCCTACCCCCCTCCCCCCAGCTGGCTGCACAGAAGGGTGAACTTGGGCACCTGCCCGGAGCACGGGCTCACGGTAGCATCCCTGGGTCCGCAAGCACTGGCGCCAAAATAAGAGCCCAAAACAAGGCGAAAAGGCACTTTGGGGATGGGGGTCAGTTTGGTTTGGGGGTCACACCTTGCGGTGCTCAGAATTTACTGCTGGCTCTGCTCAGGGATCACCCTGCTCAGGGGACCATTCAGGGGACCAGAGATCTAACCCCTTACCTGCTGAACTGTTGCTGCCCCCAAAAGGCACATTTTCAAAGACCTACACTCACTCTTTGTTTTTTAACTAAAAGGTAATTCTGATTCTCAAGCAGATGAGGACGAAAGGGCCCAGGAGAATCAGGTAATATTTCTTTGCTGTGTTGCTTCCTTGTTATGTTTTATTTTGCTTGTTAGTTTGGGGACCAAACCCCGTGGTGCTCAGGGCTTACCCCTGGCTCTACACTCAGGAATCACTCATGGTAAGGCTTGGGGAACCATGTGGGGTGCCGGGGATCAACCCAGGTCAGTGGGGTACAAAACAAATACCTAAGCTATTGCTCTGGCCCTTGTTGGGTTCTGTTGTTGTTGTTTTTGTTGTTTCATAAGGTTGTTCACATTATTTGATTACATTCAATATTTCCACACCAATTTATTTGATTACATTCAATATTTCAACTCCCGTTGTTCATCGACTTGCTTGAGTGGGTCCAGTAACGACTCCATCGTGAGACTTGTTGTTACTGTGTTTGGCATATCGAATATGTCACGGGGAGCTTTCCAGGCTTTGCCGTGCGGGCAAGATACTCTCGGTAGCTTGCTGGGCTCTCCGAGAGGGGCGTTGGAATTGAACTCGGGTCGGCCATGTTGGCTGCATGCAAGGCAAACGCCCTACCCGCTGTGCTATTGCTCCAGCCCATAATATATATATGTATATATATATTCACATATATATGAGATTGATATCCAAGACTAGGAAAATGGGTCCAGGAGGACTGGTCAATGGTTGGAAGCTACCACAAGCATCGGGGACAGAGGGTAGTTAGGATAGAGTAGGGACCAGTCTGGCAATAATGCTTGGAAATGGTTGGAAATCACTTTGGACGGAACTGGGTGTTGAAAGTAGGTAAAGAGATATACATAATAATCTTTCAATATCTGTATTGTAAACCAAAAGGCATGTGTCAGAGACAGGGGGAGAGAGAAAAGAGGGAGAGAGGGAGTGGAGAGAGAGCACTGCAGAAAGGAGGAGGGAGAGAGAGGTGCCTTCCCTGCCTGGGGGAGTAGGGAGACTGGGAACATTGGTGGTGAGCAATGTACACTGGCGAAGGGACAGGTGTTGGAACATGATATGACTGAAATCCAATCATGATCAACTCTGTGTATTTCATTAGGATTAAAAAAATTTCAAAAGAAAATAACATTTTTAAAAAGAAAAATCAAATTTAAGTCAATCTTGAAATTTTGAGCGAGCAGCAGTGCAGTGGGCTGGTGAGCGATGCTAGCAAAGCCTCACCGGGCAGCTGTGGTGGGAGTCAGCTCCCACGCTCCAGAAGCTTCCGAAGCTTGGCGCCTCTCCCTGGTCCAAACGGAGCCTTAATCATCAGCGTTCTTTGGGGGGCTGCAGGGGCTGAAGCATATGAAGCATATCCCGCCTGCAGGCAAATGCCTTAATCCCTGTACTATCCCCAGCCCCTGAAGGTGAGACTGTTAAGCGGGACGAAGACCAATTTTATCTTTAGTCATTTTGTTTCTTTTATTTATTTATTTTGCTTTTGGGTCACATCGAGAGATGCTCAGGGCTTACTCCTGGCTCTGCACTCAGGAATTAAGCCTGGCGTTGCTTGGGGGACCCTATGGGATGGTGGGGATCGAACCAGGGTGGGCCGTGTGCAAGGCAAACGTCCTAACCGCTGTGCGGTCGCTCTGGTCCCTTCTCTTTATTTTATTTCAACCAAAGAAACAAAACCAATGTTCTGCACCCCACCCGCGGTGTCCAGGGGCTGCTCGGGCAGGGGTCGCCCCGACGTCCTAGAACCAGCGCTGCTGTCTCTGACGCCAGTTCTCGGCTCCCGGGGACTCGCGGGCCACGGCGGGGACCTTGCGGGAGCCTCGGTCCCAGGGTGGGATGGAGCCGGGCAGGGTGGAACCAAGAGGTGGAAGGCAAGACCAGAAAGAGGCCCGGGGACTCTGGTGGCTTCTAGCTTCAGATGGCGGTGCGATGTCACTCTTTTCACGTGATGTCACTCTTTTCACGTGACCGCGGCGTCACGTGGTGGCGGGGCTGGATGGTGCCAAGGCCGTGCACCTGTCTTTAGAGCAGGTGACCTGAACTTGCTGTGCAAGTTCCTGGACAAGTGCGGGGGCAGCAAGCTGAGGGCTCGGGTGGGCGGCGGCCTCTGGAGCCGGGGGCGCCCCCCAGTGCTGGATGCCCAGAGAGAGGGGACATTGCGCTCCCCGCCCCTGCGGCTCAGCTCTGGGAAGGAAAACGGGGGCGACTCGAGTCCCTCTCCGCAGGAAGAGCTCAGCCCCACGTCCAGGCACTCCCCGCTGTCCCCCTGTGCGGGGTGTCGTGGCATGCTACCCTGGGAACCACTTTTCCAGATGCCTTTTCCTCCACGGTTTCCTTGGCAGATCACCTATGGGGTTCATGACCCCAGTCTGACCCCAGGACACTGCATACACACTCTTTGTGGATGACAGTGAATGTGCTTCCGTGGCCAGTAGCACCCCTTGCCCTGACGCTGTTTTTCTTCAGGCCACGAAATAGGAGTGTGGTCAGCTATTCCTAACTGCAAGTTTCGTTTGTCCAGAGTTTGCAAATGACTGTTGTTTGCTGTTGGCCGTTATTGAAATCCCTTTTACTAAAAGAACGGGATGCTTCTCTCTCCCGCAGGCAATAGTTTGAGATGAGTATCTCACAGGACCATTTGGCTTGATTGCACAGTACTCACTTCTAAAGGTAAAAAGATTTTGGTTATTATTATTTTTTTGAAACTGTCATTCTGGACTCTAGCAAGAGTAATATGATGTTCCACTTCTGGAGTAAGTGGTGTGCAGAGCTGTCTGGTTTTTAGAATCACTGACGCTGTTATGAGTGGTAAATGTTTTATCTTCTGTGGACCTTTTGTTTATTTATTTGAAGTAAAAAAAACATTTTATTTGGTGACCTTTAGGAAGAGGACGAGCGGAGAGAGAGTAACATTTCAGCAGAGACCGTGGGCTTCTCCAAAGGCAGAGAGAGCCCCTACACACATCCCAACATTAGAACGGAAAGCACAAAAGTCCCCATCTCAAGGAGAGCTGCGGGCACCGCATTTGCTCGGCTACATGGGCACAAGCAACTCAGGGGCTCGGGCAGCATAGGAGCCTTCAGTGGACCTTTCAAGGGTGGGTGTGCACCCCCCTCTTCTCCTTGACGGAGCGGCATGTCTTCTGATTGTTACTTCATGTGGCTCCAAGTTTTTCAGACACAGGATTGGTTACTTCAGCCTGAATTTATACACCTGGCTTTGGGGAATCTAAATTTTTATACTAAAGTGTTTTTTTATTTTTTGGAGGGGCTCATGCCAGGCAGTGCTCAGGCTTCGCACTCAGGATCACTCCTGGCAGTGCTCAGTGGACAGTATGGGGTGCTGGGGATAGAACCCCGGGTCAGCTGAATGCAAAGCAAGCACCTTACCCACTGTACTATCTCCCTGACCCCGGGTCTCCTGAGCACTGCCCCAGGACACCTCCTGGTGGTGATTCTTAGCAGTTCGATGAGGCTTGGTGCTGTGGTGGCAGGGATATCCCAGGCCAATCCAGTGGCCTCTCTTGGGATGCAAATGGCAATGCTTGAGACCCTTGTGGTGCCAGGGGGCGAAGTTGGCAGTCATGTGTCAGGCATGTACCATAACCCCTGCATTCTCTGACTCAACACTAAAGTCTACTGTGCTTGGGAGTGGGAGTGTTAGAACACCTGAGTTTTTGTTGTTGGTCTGTTTTCTTTGGGTCACCCTTGGCAGTGCTCAGGCTTACCCCTGGCTCTGCACTCACGATTGACTCTTGGTGGTGTTTGGGGACGGTGTGGGAGGCCAGCAATCCAACCCAGGCTGGCTGCCTGCAGTGACTCCAAGTTTGGGTCGGCTGGTAAGTTTTAGGGGTTCTGTTCACCATTTGTATGTTTGCTTTCCTAGGAACATGAAATTTATGGCATCCAGAACAGTAAGTGAAGCGACATCATTTACTAATAGGTTAGCTGAGTAAAATAAATCTCAAAAGTGTCTGTTTTCGAAGGTGCGGCCTTTGTGTGTAAGTCCGAATACTTGAAAATGTCAGGCACTGACTTTCAGCCCAAGGTTAAAGTGAGCTCGAGCCAGGACACCATCGGGGAAACCGAGGCGAAGGCCTTGTGCGGAGGGCCTTGTGGTGTGCAGCCCCGCTGCTCAGGCCGCCCAGGGAGGCGTGAGGAATAGAGCGTTTCTGAGGGGTGCCTGGGTCCGAGGTCAGGGGGCTTTGGCCCCGGATATTAGATTCTGTAGCATTTCAGATCTGAGTGGGGGCTAGGAAAGCTCACGGGGCTAGTGCCAGGCGCACAGCCAGCGCTCGATTCCATCCACGCTCCTGCCTCGTCCAGTGAGCACTGAGCTGGGAGTAGCTCCTGCTGGGATACAGTCTGAGAAGTTTCCCACAGTCTGATTCGTGTCTTTTCTTCAGAATACGGAATCCCAGGCCGCAAGAGGGGCAACTCCGGCGCCTTCAGGAGTGGCCCTGGCCGGGGGCTGGGGAAACAGCCCTGGGGATAGAGCCCCGGTCTGGAAGGACGGGGATGCAGCTAACTGCATGGGTTCTCTCTGGGTCACAGCTGCTGAGTGCTGGCCGAGTCCAGACAGTGCTGTCTGTCCAGTGTGCCAAGCTGTTTATCGCAGAGTGGATTGTGATGGCGTGTGTGTGTGTGTGTGTGTGTGTGTGTGTGTGTGTGTGTGTTTGTATGTCACTGCAGTGGTGAATGCATGGCTCAGTGGCGGCGGCCATGGAAGCAGAGCAGGACCACACGTGGAGGTATTTCCACACAACAAAGCGTTTTCCTGCTCTTTAATGATTATGGGGGTGTTTCCGGTTTGTTTTTTACCAGTTGTTCCAAAGGATAACTTCTTAAGTTGCTTCCTTTTGTGGGACAGTCGTAAGCAGTGCCCCAGGGGCCGTGGGGCTGATCTTGGTGATTTTCTGCTCTGTGGGGCCAGTCCGTGGCCCTGGGGCCACTGCGGCTGTGCCTGGCAGCCGCTGGGGGTGATGCCACACACACAGCCCCTCTGGGTTGATTTCTGGCACAGGAAGGGAAGTCGAGGGCCCAGGGTCCGTGAGGACCCTCAGGGCCTGCAA